ATGAATCTCTCCTCGCTCTCCATTCTCTGTCAGGTTTCTCACTCCATTTGGTGCTTGGCTGAGTTCTTTATCTCTTCATTTGATGTTTTAGGGTTTCAGGGTTGTTGTTTTCTCTGTTCGGCTTAGTTTTTTGGATCTTTGCTGTGGAGGGACGGCGTGGTGCTTCTGCCTAGAGCACCATTTTGCCAGAAGTTCCTCTCTTTCTTGTCTTTTTAATACCCTCTTGCTCTCCTCATGTATGATGTCCTTGATGTCATTCCACAACTCGTCTGGTCTTCGGTCATTAGTGTTCAACGCATCAAAGCTATTCTTGAGATGGTATCTAAATTCAGGTGGGATATACTCAAAGTCATATGTTGGCTCTCATGAACTTTTTTTAATTTTCTTCAGTTTCAACTTGAACTTGCATCTGAGCAATTGATGGTCTGTTCTGCAGTCGGCCCCTGGCCTTGTTCTAACTGATGATACTGAGGTTTTCCATCATCTCTTTCCACAGATGTAGTCAATTTGATTCCTGTGCATCCCATATGGTGAAGTCCATGTGTACAGTCACAGTTTATGTTGGTGAAAAAAGGTATTTGCAATGAAGTCATTGGTCTTGCAAAGTTCTATCCTGTGATCTCCGGCATCATTTTTATCTCCAAGCCATATTTTCCGACTATTGATCCTTCTTCTTTTTTCCAACTTCTGCATTCCAGTTACCAGTAATTATCAATACATCCTGATTGCATGTTTGATCAATTTCAGACTGCAGAAGTTGATAAATGTCTTCAATTTCTTCATCTTTGGCCTTAGTGTTTGATGTGTAAATTTGAATAATAGTCATATTAACTGGTCTTCCCACATGGTGGGTGCTCAAAGTATTTGTCAAGTGAGTTAATTGGTGACTGGTAAGAACTATAAGAGACCATGGGTGGCACAAGCAGTGCATGCTCAGCTACTAACCTAAAGGTTGGTGGTTCAGACCTACCCAGTGATGCCACAAAAGAAAGGCCTGGTGAACTGCTTCTGTAAAGATTACAGCCAAGAAAACCCTATGGAGCAGTTCTACATTGTAACACATGGGGTTGCCATGAGTCAGAATTGACTCGATGGCAACGAGTTTGGTTTTTTTGGTTTTAAGGACTACAACCAGCATCTTTTGACTTAAGGCCCAACATCTTTCCATACAGTCTTCCTCAGATGGAGGAAAAGTGATAAGAGGGCTCTTTTATCCTGAAGTCAGGGACAAAGCAAATGTCTCTCACTCCTATAGACAAAGATAAAGCATAGAAGCCTCCTCCAAGACAAAGTGTTGACAAGAAAATGTCATGCCTGGTAGTTGCTAAGAGCCTTAAGAAGCTGCCTCGGGATCCTTTGAACTTGGTGACACATCCTCACTCAACATACTTTTTCTCAATTGCTGACTTCCTCTGTGGTTTGCTAGTATTTTGTTTTTAGCAGAGGAGTAGTTAGAAAACAACACAGGTTTCATTTCCTCATTTTCGAGCCTCACTCTTCATGAGGGCCAGAAAACTCTCTCAAACTGTGAAAGGCTTCAGGGTGAGCAGTGGATCTCTCTTCCCCCTCTCCAGGGGCCCTCAGATAGGATCTTGCACAGAAAGGAGCCATGAATCTCTGGCTTTGGTCACTTTACTTCCTTCCAGGTAAGTGCTACGGGGAAGCAACATTCCTCAGAGTTCTTATGAGATTCAACTTGGTCACAGGTATCGGAGTTGCTCGGCGTCTTCACCTCGGATGTTTCCAGACAGATTCTGTTGCAAACCAGTACCTAGGGCAGGGCAAGGATGGAGGTCCTCCGCCTCTCTGCCAGTGCTCCTTGCTCCATTCCAGACACTTCTCCTGTTCGAGTCAAGTGGTAAGCCATAAGGACTGAAGGCATCACCACTCCAAGACATATTAACCTATTAATATGGGATCTTGTCACAGGTGTCTCCAAAATTCATTCTTCTTACCTCTACATTCTCTTTGTTTGGGTCTCTTTCACTCCTGAATTTTCAGCTTGCAACTCTAAATGAAGACTCCCTGATACATTCTGTAGCCCTACTCTGTTTCCTGAGTTCCACGTCTCAGGAAATGGAACTAACTCCTGGGCACTCCCACTTCAATGTTCCACCAAAATCCAAAATTCAATATGCCCAACACGCTACCTCAAGCTTCTCCTTGGTCACCATCCAAACCAGCTACTCCATCTGTCTTAACTGTCTCTGACAACAGCCTCAATGCCAGAATGGCTTTTTAACACCTTTTTTAACACCTTTTTTCCTTTATTCCCACCCAGACATTGATCCAATAATTGGCCAATTGATGTAGTTTCTGTTGTTAGTTACCGTTGAATCAGCTCCAACTCATGGCAACTTTACGGATAAGAGAATAGAATGTTGCCTGGTCCTGTGCCATCTTCATGGTTGTTGGTGTGTTTAAGTCCATTATTGTGGCTATTATGTCAGTCTAACTCATTGAGAAATCTGTCCCATTTCTGCTAATTCTCTTCTTTACTGAACATGATGTCCTCTACTAGAGATTGGTCTTTTTTGATGACATGTCCAAAGTAAGTGAGTAGAAGTCTCGCCATCCTCTCTTCTAAGGAATATTCTGATTGTATTTCTTCTAAGACTGATCATTCTTTTCACAGTCCATTGTATATTTGATATTCTTCACCAACACCACAGTTCAAACACATTAATTCTTCCATCTTCCTTTTTCACTACCAAACTTTTGCATGTATATGAGATGATTGAAAAGTCCACGGCTTGGGTCGGATAAGCTTGGAGTCCTTGAGTGGTGCAAACAGTTAATGCACTTGTCTGCCAACCGAATGGTTGTACATTCAGGTCCACCCAGAGGTGCCTTGGAAGAAAATCCTGACCATATACTTCTGAAAAATCAGCCATTGAAAACACTATGGATCACAGTTCTACTTTGACATACATGGGGTTGCTTTGAGTCGTAATCAACCCCATGGCAACTGGTAGTGGTGGATATAATTTCTGGATTCACAATTATCAGGACAAGAAGCAATGACAGCCTCTACTAGAATGGAAGCAGAGGGGATGGAAAGGAAAAAAAAAAAACACGCAGCTATCTCTTAATTTTCTTTCCCACTTCCTTCAACTCCACCTGCATGATTAATCTTGAAGATTAATCTTCCCAAAGTTTGACTCTAATCATAGGATTGCCCTTCCCAAAAACCTTCCATGCATCCCACTGCCTAGTGAATTAAATACAAGCTCCTCCTTTGCATCCCCTTTTTACACTCTGAGCTTACCACACTCCCCTGCATTTGCTAACTGCTGGTCAACAAGGACTCCTCCTTGAACACATTCTGAGCCACCCTGCTCTGCTCACATTAGTTCTTCCAGGAACATCTTTTGTCTCACCTCCATCTATGATGGGTCCTTCAAACACCATCTCAAACTCCCTCATCTTCTTGTAGACTTTCCTGAACCCTGTCTTCTGAACCCCAACAGCTGATCACATTCTGCCTTGCAGTGTGGGTCGATGCGTATCCACCTTATTTTGTCTATTAAATGGTAAGCTCCTTGGAGGTTAAAAAGGTTTCTTATTCATATTGGCTTTCCTTGTGATGTCTTGAATATGGAAGAAACTCAATAAATATTTGTTGAGTCAAAGATTGAAAAGCCCAAAGGAATGGAGTTTTGATGAAATCTCAGACGCAATGAGAGGTTGCGGGAGATTATGGGCACAGTGGACAGTTAACTAATCTTGGGCTAAGAGGGAAGAGCAGCTGGGTGGGAGTGGAAGATCTGTGGGAATGAAGGTTATCTCACATTGTACCACCTCAGCCTTTCATAGCAATGACCATGAAGATGGCACAGGACCTGGCAATATTTTACTCTGTTATCCATAAGGCCGCTATGAGTCAGAACCAGCTTGACAGCGTCTAACAACAGTCTGTCCTGAGCAGTACCACCATTCTAGCTGGGCCAGTGGGGTCTCTGCTCTGGGCCCCTATACTTTAGAGTACCCACTCTGGTTTTTTTCCAGCCATGCACAACCCCACAGGGCCAAAATCCCTTTCCTGTCCAAATGACTACAGCCCAGTGACTGTGTGAGCCTCTATCCTGGGTCTTCCTCTTGAGGGTGACTGCGAATCCTATAAAGGGGTGACCACAAATGGCTGTTTGGGGAGGAGATGAAGTGTAGATGGAGGTTGTACATGCAAGCTGGGGTGTCCGTCATGTATAGCAGGAACCTAGTAGTGTGGGCACAGCACAGAGGTGGGAAGAAATGGAAGCCAGACCAGAAGCTGGGAACAGGAAGCCTGGGGCTTGTTTTCCTTGCATAGCCATGTTCTGGAGTGGTCATGCAAGGAGTGTGTGAATTTGTCAAGATAGGGGGATAGAACATATTTTATTCAACAGTCTATTAGCTTTATCTATAACTTTAAAATATATACGCATATGGTATTTGGGCCTTCATTTGTACTCTTTTCCTGATTCTGCAAAAATGAGGGGCAGGCCTGGTTCCCTGAGCCCAGTGCGTGCAGCACAAGCTATAGATCATGTTCCTTTTTGACAAATATAAAAATCTCAAGCCAGCTTTCCACTTCCCAAGATTCTGCTATGACTTGAATCAATCAGGTCCTCATCACCACTCCCTCCTTCCATTACACAGAAGCCAATGTCTATCCTCAGAGCATCCCCGCCAGCCAAGACTTCATGGAACCTTATTTATTTTGCAATATGAAAATTATAGGGTTTTTTTCCACGTTCCACACATATATTTACATTAAATTATCGAGTGAGTGACTTTTTAAACCACCTATGTCCCTCTCCTCTGCCATCACCACTGAAAATCAAGCCACCAATCTAGAGATTAATGTCACTTACTTAGGAGCCTCTTTACAATATTAATATTAAACAGGTGTGTTCTTTAGATACCTTCTACTCCTCCCTTTCTTCCCCAGAATCATTTGTAAATGTAGTTATATAGCTCAGAATTGTAGAAATGCAAGGACACCTGGGACACTTGTTTAAAAATGAGGATTCCTGGCTCCACCCAAGACAGGTGTAATCACCATACCTAAGGGCAGGACAAGGTCATCTGCATCTTGGTGAGTTCCCCTCAGATAACTCTTAGGTACTCTATGCTATCTTAGAATTCTAAACTAGGAGATTAGAACTGCGTTAGTTCACTCGTTTTGGAAATCTGCTTTTCCAAGTCTGCATGTGTGTTAGTAGCTATTATAAACTCCAAGGAGGTTTAGTCACTGTTTTCTGAGTTTCTGGGCATTTTCACATCACCAGCTAGGCCTCCCTCATTGGTCATAACTCAGTGTATCCAGCAGCTCTCTTTGTGTTTCATCTCCAGTGTTTGAGCAATGAGGAACTGGGCAAGTCTGGGATTTACCAGAAGCCCAACCCTGAGCAGAAGTAGGCCATTGAAGGTGTCTGCATGAGCAATGACCTCACCTTTGCTGTACCTTGTCTCTACCCATTTTACAATCTTTTTTTCTTGGGGAAGCAGCATTCATGCCCTTCTTCTGGCTGGGTTATTCTCAGCCAGAAATGTTCCAGTGCTTCTCCCCTCAGGTGCTGGGTTTTCCCCACAGGTGTGTGTGAGCATTCTGGAGGCACAGGGGGATTCCCCTCCCCTTATAATGGGTCATGTCTTTTGCACGAGGTCATCCTTCCATCGCCATGTTCAGTCATGAAGCTACCTACCACGTCTCAGTGTCAAATGGAGTTAGAACAGTGGTTGGCTACTCGTGTGAGGGTTTCCACATCAGATCTATGTTTCTGGCTGACTCCCTGCTTCTCCCTCTCAACATGCTCCTGAAAACGCTCCCTTCCCAGCCCCTGTTTTATCCTCCTTGAGCCCCCATCCCTCTACTGGAATGGCTTCCTCAGACCAACTGCTTTTCCAGAAGCCTCACACCCTGCCTGTTTCCTGAAGCTTTCCTTGACTCTCCTTATTTGACTAAACTTTTTGTGTGTGGTTTGTGGGAGAATTTCAGGAGCTATGTGAACTTCTCTGCTCCATGAACATACCATGCTCTCACTTAGACTGGGCCATTTATAGGGGCTATTCTCACCATCTGGAAGACTTTCTCCTCCTCTACCCCATCCCCCAGCCCCACCTCAACAAACATGCTCTTTACTCTATGAACCCTCTTCCCAGAAATATGCAGACACTTATCGGGACTTACCATAGCTGACAATCCTACACAACATTACCCTTTTTTCTAGCTGGCTCAATTGCATTAGACCTGTCTTCTCTCTGCCACAACAGATGCTTGTTTATGTCAAGGATTCATGAACCACATCTCTCATCCCTCCCCAACACACATAAAATGTGCACACGCTCACACACGCACCTGCTTTCCCACCTGTGTCCCCTACCTCAGTGAAGACAATCACCATTCTCTCAGTTGTCCTCCATGCCCAATTCTTCAAGTCACAACTTAGACATCATTTCTTCCAGAAGCCTTCCTCAAACTATGCAATAGTCGGGGTCAGGTGCCTCTGTTTGGCACTTCCAAGGAGCCCAGTGCTATCTCCGTCAGGGAATTCATGACACTGTGCTGCCTATTTGTCTGCATCACCCACTAAATGATTAGTGAGGGGAACGATACTGGCTATCCAACCATCACATGAAAGGCATTCAATAAATACTTGCTAAATGATTTAATAAATAGAACTGTGGATGAATGGTTGGCTGAATGGGTCTGAGCAAAACAAAACCCTGTTGCCATTGAGTCAATTCCGACTCACAGTGACCTCACATGTTTTGGAGTAGAGCTGAGTTCCATAGGGTTTTCAATGGCTGTAATCTTACGAAAGCCGGACGATGAACAAGGAAGACTGAAAAAGAATTGACACCTTTGAATAGTGGTGTTGGCAAAGAATACTGAATATACCATGGACTGCCAAAAGAACGAATGAATCTGTCTTGGAAGAAGTACAACCAGAATGCTCCTTAGAAGCAAGGATGGTGAGACTACATCTCACATACATTGGACATGTTATCAGGAGGGACCAATCCCTAGAGAAGGACATGCTTGGTAAAATAGAGGGTCAGCAAAAAAGAGGAAGACCCTCAATGAGACGGACTGACACAGTGGCTGCAACAATGGGCTCAAGCATAACGATTGTGAGGATGGCACAGGACGGGGCAGTGTTTCGTTCTGTTGTACATAGGGTTGCTATGAGTCGGAACCGACTCGATGACCCCTAACAACAACAATCTTACAGAAGTAGATCGCCAGGTGCTTCTTCCAAGGCACCACTGGATGAATTTGAACGGCTGATCTTTTGGTTAGTAGCTGAGAGCAAACTGTTTGCACTACCCAGGGACCGAACAAAACTGGAGAGGAAACCCTGTTGCAGCATAGCCACACCATACCTCTCTATACCACACTGAAGCCACTTGAGGGTTATGTCCTATTTGAGATCATCCATGGCATAGTACCTCTCCTTGGAGGGGGTTTTGTAGTTTTGACCACATTCTCAGGGATTTGGCATCTGGGTCTTTATGAGTTGGGTTTGGATTTGGTGATGAGGCTGGGGCTGGGGACAGGTGTGGCTGGTATAGGCTGGGACTGAGCACAGGGCTGTAGATGGACATGGAGCTGAACTGAGGTTGTGCATAGGGTTGGGGATGGAAAAGGCCGAGGCTGAGGGTAAGGCTAGAGGTCAGCATAGGGCTGAGGCTAAGGGCTGGCTGAGTCTGGACTGATAATGGTGATGGGACTGGGACTGGGGATGAGAATGAGGCTGTGCTGGGACCAGGGCTAGGGTTGGATTTAGGACGAGAGTTGGGGATGTGGCTGGGATTGGGACATAGTTTAGAATGGAGTTTCCTCTGCATTAACTCCCTCTCCCTGCAGTATCTGGGGCTCTGAAGATCCTCCCAGCAGTCAATCTGGAGGGAGAGCTAGGAGGATCCGTTACCTTCGAGTGTCCACTGCCTAAAACGTACAGCAGGATCTATCTGTGCCGGGAGATGGCTGCGCCTGGAGTGTGTGCCACTGTGGTGTCCAACGGGAACTTCGCCAAGAAAGAATACATTGGTCGAGTCTCCCTGAACGTGTGCAGAAAAAAGAATCTGTTCCTGGTGGAGATGACAGGGATGACTGAGGATGACAGTGGAGTCTATGCCTGTGGGGTGGGACTAAACACAGACCGGGGCAAGACCCAGCAAATCACCCTGAGCATCAGCAGTAGGTACCACAGCTGACCGGAGGCTCAGCTCACCCAGAAAATGTTTCCACTTGGGGAGGTTGCAACAACCCTCTAACCCTAACAGTTGCCCAGACTCTTATGCTATTGCCATGTTAGCCAGTGCAAGAACTGGGATCCACATGGATGAAACTTCAGAGTGTCAGTTAATTTCATCATCCACAGAATTTTCTATCCAAAATGCATGAAAGAAACAGAGTAGTTCTTTGTATTGTCCATCCTCTCCAGCGCATGGGGGAAGGGGGATGTGAGATTGAGGAGAGGCAACTGGAAACAAAAGGACATAATTATCCCATACAACTGTCCCACGGGAAATACAGGAGATGAACATAAGGAAAGACACCTTTCAAGGCCCAAATTGGTATTTTATGATCTGATCCATTCCTTATTTCTCCTTTGCTCCACTGACGTGCAGCACTAATTCACAGCCTAGAATCCCAGTGGCGTCTGATGGTTTTGCAGGGAATGTTGACTGTGGTAGGAGGAGAGGGCATTTCCTTCAAGGAAGCCCCCAGCCCAGTTTATTTTCTGCTCCTTCAGTGGACCCTGCCCTCGTTCTCTCACTGCCATCCATCCTGGCCAAGTCAGCTTCAACTCACACCAATAGTCCCTTCTCTAGGCCCCAGTCACCCCCTCAAGCCCACCAATGTCTTCCTGTTGCCTCCAACAGAGTATTATCCATTCTGGGAGGAGGAGATGGCACTTCAGACCCCAGGATGGTTTCACAGACTTCTATATCTGACGGCGGCCTCTACGGCCCCTTGGTTCCAGATGCCTGAAGATGCCATTCCTTCTGAATTCGTATTCAAAGGTCAGCTCACCAACACTAGGATGGGAGATGTTGGGGAGATGCTGGGGTATTGTGAAGAGCAGGGTGAGGGGGAGGGTGCATCACTGAGTGGCTGGCAGAGCAGAGCTGCGGCTCAGGTGTGCATTTCCTGCCTCAGGAGATGGTAGCTCCTTGACACGTGTTCTCCAAATCCTCCTTTAAAAACCTTTTAGTTACCAAATTTTTATTTCTAAAACAATTTTTTTTTCTTTCTTTTTTATTGTACTTTAGGTGAAGGTTTATAGAACAAATAGTTTCTCATTACACAGTCAGTACGCATAATGTTTTATGACATTGGTTTAAAAATTTTTTTTGATGGCATGTGTTTTCAGTATTGGAATGCATGCTTACAACTGAGTGTGTCTACATTTTTGGTAGGTAATATGGATTTTGGAAACCCTGGTGATGTAGTGGTTAAGCGCTACAGCTGCTAACCAAAAGGTCAGTAGTTAGAATCTACCAGGTGCTCCTTGGAAACTCTATGGGACAGTTCTACTCTGTCCCCTAGGGTTGCTATGAGTCAGAATCAACTCGACAGCAACGGGTTTTAATATGGATTTTGAGAAATATGATCTGGTAATACAAGCCACCAATGAGCTAGTGGCACTTTGGTGCTGCCAAATCTTTGGTATGACAATATATCAATGAAATCTATAGTAATAATTTATTGCAGGTGCCTTTCCATTAGGTTACATGGGGAACCTCTGGTTTTCCAAATACGACACAGAAAAACCAAAACAAACCCATCAGGGCTCCCTAACTATCACACAGGAAAGCCATAATTATGCTTGCAAGCCTTATCTCACAGAACTAAAGGAAAAAAGGCAAAAGTTTACAAAACTAACACATCCAGGAAACATCACCTAATAGAATGCTCAACCTACTCAACAACGAGGCTCTAATTCCAGTCTGCTGAGCTTCGTGCATTTCAGAAGGGACCCACCTTGATGCTAAATACATTAGAGCCAGAATAACATACTACCTACAAAGTCCAGAGGCATAAAAAGTGACTGGTATACCATCACACCAATGGTAACAAAAGAGTTAAGCCTACCCTACAGCCAGTATACCAGGCCCTACTTGCAGAACTCAAACACCACCACCAGGTGGCACCACAAATAATGGAATTTGTGCTCCATTCACAAAATCTAGCTCTTTTATGAATGACTGCCAAAACCAAGACTGGGCAGAGTTCCCAGCCAGAAGCCCTCATGCCTCCTGCTTCCCACAACAGGACTGTCTGTCTTCTACCTGCTGGCATTCAATGATTTTAACAACTCTATTTTGCAATAAAAGGATTAATGAGGATCATACATACCTTTACATTTCTAAATGATATTCCATTTTCAAACACATTTTGGCATGCAATATTTCCATCATAGTCTCACATCTACCCTGTAAGATAGATACATTAGCTGAGTATTACTACACTAGGGTACCCTCCTGGGTGCCAAGAGGGATAGTGTAACTGAGCATATCATGTACCCAAAGTTATAACTGATAGATGTGGGACAGGGAGAATGGACAAGACCACAAATACGGCCAAAGGCCAAGTGGGAATAGAGCTACAAACAAGGTTTCCTCATGCTCAGAGGAGGGAGAGCTCTTCTGCCTGGGCAGTCAGGGAAGGCTTCCTAGAGGAAATGGTATTTGAAGCAAATATAGCTAGGAATTTACTAGGTATAGATGATATGCTAAGAAGGCATTGTAGGTCAAAAGGACTGCAAGAACAAAGGTAGTCTGGCTAAAAGGGAGGAAGAATGTGTTGGGGAAAGGGATGGTGACCCAATCCTGCTGGAGACTAAGTATATGGAAGGTCATTTTTTCCTGCTGTCTCCTACAGTAACACCAGCTCCGAGGACTCAGGCCCCTCCGGCCGACCACCCGTTGCCTGCTACCCCAATCACCCACCACTCTCCAATTTCCAGAGCATCTTCAGTGGCAGCTGGCAAGCCGCCAACACTCCTGCCAGCCACCACAGCCTCAAAGACTTCAGCTCGGGAGGAGGAGGTCAGGCCCCAGCCGGCTGGCTACAACCACCAAACCAGACTGCACAGAGAGAGGTAAGGGGCCTCTGTGGCCCTGGACAAGCTAATCCTCAGGCAAAGTAGGCTAGAGTTAGGAGAGCCACTGAAGTCCTCCTGCACGTCCACCATTAGAGACCCTTCCTGGGTTTCTCTCTAGAAGGCCACTCTGAAATACTACCTGTGAGTACGGCACATTAACGCATGAGTTCCATGAACAAGCTTATGCTTGCCAGGGCCCCCATGTCAACAAAGGAGGCTCCGTAGAGGCAGGAGCCAAGGCTTTCAGTCACTCAACATTCATTCACATCTGATTTGATGAGGAGGAACTAAATGAGAATAACATCTTTAAAAATCCACTTAAGCTTGCCCAATTTACAGCACAAAGTAGCCCTTCCCACACGTGCAGCTTCCACACTGACTACAGTATTGTAGTAGTTACGAGCATGGTTCTGACACCTGAGTTCACAATCTGGCCCCTCATCAAGAAGCTCTGTGATGGTAGGCAGGTCACGTAATCTCGTTGTGCCTCAGTTCCTTCATTTGTCACCTCATAGAACTAAGAAGGATTAATGAGTAGACCAGTGCTTTATGTTTACTAGTAATGAGTGTTAGCTGTTACCATTATTAGAATTACCTTGGGAGAATTTTAAGAAAAAAAAATTTGATGCCTAAGTCACCACAGATCAACTTAATCAGACTTTCAAGAATGAATCCCAGGAATGATATTTTTCTAAAACTCTGCAGGTGATTCTAAATGTAGCCAGAATTGAGATCTATCGATATAAAGCTGTGCTGTCCAATATGGTAGCCAGCAGCCACATATGGATATTGAGCACTTGAATTGTGGCTAGTCTGAATTGAGATCCTGATTTTAAAGACTTAGTATGGAAAGAAAGATTGCTCTATATATCAGTAATAAGTTTTATATCAATTATATGTAGAAATCATAATATCTTAGATGTACTGGGCTAAATAAGATGTTCTATTAAATAAGATGTCCCATCAGTTTGTCGTACTGTGGGGGCTTGCATGTTGCTGTGATGCTGGAAGCTATGCCATCGGTATTCAGATACCAGCAGGGTCACCCATGGCGGACAGGTTTCAGCTGAGCTTCCAGACTAAGACAGACTAGGAAGAAGGACCTGGCAGTCTACTTCTGAAAAGAGTTAGCCAGTGAAAACCTTATGAATAGCAGTCAAGAAATCAAAAGACACATTGCATTGGGCAAATATACCACAAAAGACCTCTTTAAAGTGTTGAAAAGCAAAGATGTCACCTTGAAGACTAAGGTGCGCCATGGTATTTTCAATCACATGGTATGCATGCGAAAGCTGGACAATGAACAAGGAAGACCTAAGAAGAATTGATGCCTTTGAATTGTGGTGTTGGCGAAGAATATTGAAGATACAACAGACTGCCAAAAGAACGAACAAATCTATCTTGGAAGAAGTACAACCAGAATTCTCCTCAGAAGCAAGGATAGCGAGACTACATCTTACATACTTTGGACATGCTGTCAGAAGGGATCAGTCCCTGGAGAAGGACATCATGCTTGGTAAAGTAGAGGGCCAGCAAAAAAGAGGAAGACCCTCAACAAGATGGATTGACACAGCGGCTGCAACAATGGGCTCAAGCATAACAACGATTGTGAGCATGGCGCAGGACCAGGCAGTGTTTCGTTCTGTGGTACATAGGGTCGCTATAAGTCAGAACCGACTCAATGGCACCTAACAACAACAACATTAAAATTACTTTCACTTTAATCTGTTTCTTGAACTAGGAAACAGGAGTCTTGGTTCTACTTGAAACCACTTTTAATGTGGCGTCTAGAAAATTTTAAATTATGTAGATGACTCACATTGTATTTCTATTAAACGGCACCCATCTAAAGGCTGGGTGTAGTGCAGGGAAGTGGTGGAATTGACCACTAGGGGGCAGAATTATGGAAGACCATAATAATTGGAATCATGCTTCCTTAGCCAAAGACAAACCTGTTAGTGTAGATAGGGACCTTCAACATCATTGGGTTTTACAGATATGGAAACTGAGGCCAGGAGAGGTAAGTGGTTTCAGATAAAATCAGGACTCCTGTTTCCTAGTTCAGTAAGTCACATTCTACCTATCCGTAGAGAATTCAAGGCAATTCAACATTTTCTGAGTTTCTACTATGTGGTAGGCACTGTCCTACATCCTAAAGACGTAAAAAGATGACAACATGCAAAACAATCCATTTCTTGCCAACTAACTAATGCAAGTCTAACTGTGGTGAGAGTTGAGTTGAACACAAAATTGGGAAAACAGAGCACAAAAAAAAATTGATTCTGACTTTACCATGATTAGGGAGGAAAAGAGGACTTTTGCGCTGGTCTTTAAGGAATATAAGGACTCAATATGTAGAGAAGATGGAGGGAAGATCTTCCAGGCAGAGGGACACCATGAGAAAAAACATCTTCAACAGACATTACAGTTACAAGAAACTCACTCATTTAATACTTGCAATAATCTTGTGAGGAAACTGAGGTGCAGAGGGTTGGAAGGGGAACTGACATTTATCTAGCCCTGCTATAGACCAGGTGTGGTCCCTGGCTGATACAAACGATTAACATGCTTCCCTGCTAACTGAAAGGGAGGAAGTTGGAAGTTCGAGTCCACCCAGAGGAGCCTCTGGAGAAATACCTGGCGATCTACTTCCGAAAAATCAGCCATTGAAAACTCTGTATGCAGCACAGTCCCACTCTGACACACGTGGGATCGCATGAGTCAGAATCAACTTCAGAGCAACTGGTGTAGACCAGGTGCACTTAGTTCTTTATATTCATTGTTTTATTTAATCCTCCTAACAGTTTTGTGGTAGAGGTTTTACTATCTCCATTTATGGAGATATAAGGCTCAGAGGGAAGAGGTACAGACAGAATGCTCCTTAGAAGCAAGGATGATGAGGCTTTGTCTCACGTACTTTGGACATGTTATCAGAAGGGACCAGTCCCAGGAGAAGGACATCATACTTGTTAAGGCAGAGGGTCAGTGAAAAAGAGGAAGACCCTCAACCAGATGGATTGATACAGTGGCTGCAACAATGGGCTCCAATACAGCAATGACTGTGAGGATGGCGCAGGCAGTGTTTTGTTCTGTTGTCCACAGGATCAGGTTGCTGAGTCGAGGCACTTAACCGCAAGGCTCAGAGAAGCTAAGTTTTTTCAAGATCACTCAGCCAGTAAAAGGCAGAATCTGAATTTGAACCCAGATTTCCTGACTCCATAGACAAAGCTCTTTTTGGGAAGAGGAAGTGGGAATGGATTCTTAACGCAAAGGGACAAACCTGTGAGACAGTTTCCAAAAACAGTTGTCCACTCAAGGGTACTACCTCCCTTGCTTCTTTCCTTCCTTCCTCAGAGCCTTCAACCATGGACTGTCTGGTGCTGAAGACCAAGACTTTCACATCCTGATCCCAACCATCCTGGGCCTTATGCTCCTGGCACTTCTGGGGATGGTGGTGAAAAGGGCCATTCAAAGGAGGAAAGGTGAGCACCGGGCGGGGGGAGCTCAAGGCTCCGTTGGGAGAGCTGAGCTGCCCATCAGGCAGGCCCTGGACGTCCAGGCCCCCACTTTCTCAGCACGCCGGGGAAACTCAGGAAGCGCTGGGTGAGCAGCTGGGTGTGGGGAAGGGAGATGGGGGCCAACGGCCTGGAAATGAGGAGGAAGAGGAGAGTGGCCTGGGCGTTTTGGTTTTCAGTGAAGGGCACAGCCGCGCCTCATACATGCCGCACACTTCTACTGAGCATCTACACGTCAGACAGTGCCACGTCTTGGGGAGGGGTACTGCTTTCGTTTTTTAAGCAGAGTGTGGGGAGGGGGTACCCACAGGCCTCACCATGTTCCTCCCTCCCTCCCTGTGGCTTTGCTGAGAAGTTCTCTCCAGGAGAGTCCGCCGCCTGGCCGTGAGGATGCGCGCCCTGGAGGCCTCCCAGCGGCCGCGATTATCGCAGCGGCCCCGAATGTCGCAGCGGCCGCGCTCCCAAAACATCTACAGCGCCTGCCCGCGGCGAGCTCGGGGAGCCGACGCTGCGGGTGAGCGAGCCGGCGAGCGGAGAGGGCCGCGGGCGGGCCAAGGGGCGGAAACCCTGCGGGCCCGAGGGTGCGGCCCGCGCTATGCGCCGCGGCTCTGGGAAAGCCTGGCGCTGCCGGGTCCACCCCCTCCTTTCCAGGGTTACCCGCCGGATCGGGCTGGGAGTACGGGTGGAGCTAGGCCCCTCGGTCAGGCCCTCATCTCAGTCCTCCGTCCCCTTAGGCCCGGAGCAGGCACCTCTCCCAGGCCCGGGAGCAACGGAGCCCTCCGCCCCGCCGCAGGTAAGCCCCGCCCCCTTGATTGGCAGGCGCGATCAAAGGCGGCTGCAGACCTGGGCCTTCACCTGCGCGCAGACTAGTTTAGCTGCAGGGCGCCAGCTTTCCCAGCAGGGCCTGGGCCCTGAGCCAGGGGAACAAGATGTATCAGTTTCCTCCTTTGATGATGTTGGTAGACTGACTACTAAAGAATTGTGGTAAACTTAGTTATTTGGCTTTTAGCCACGCAGTTCTCCTGGGATAAATGTGTGCTGATGCCAGTAGCTGAGTAGGAGATGAGAGATGGAAACTGCAAATAAGGAAGGGCTTTCCTGTGGAAGATTAGACTTGTAGCAGGTCTCAAAGGGATGGCAGCTACCCAGACAGGTTCACTGATTAAGAAGGGAGAACTTTCTAGTAAATTTTCTAAGATAAGAGGAGGTCATTTATCCATCACTGGGGCAGTGAAGCCTGGCCTAGATGATGCCCTGGCAGAGATGTAAATAGGATTTAACACGGTGGGTGGAGGGATTCCTCTTTAAATCTAGGAATGGACATATACCACACACACACACACACACACATACACCCATTGCCCGAAATCGATTCCGACTCATAGCGACCCTACAGGACAGGGAACTGCCCGATAGGGTTTCCAAGGAGCGGCTGGTGGATTCAAACTGCCGACCTTTGGGTTAGCAGCGGTAACTCTTATCCACTGTGCCACCAGAGCTCTAGGAATGGACACAGGAACTCATTTTTCTATCAATGGCTATTGACGGACAGGTAAAAAGCCTTTAAATTACCCATCTGTCTCTGTTTTTACAAGTTAAGAAAAAGAACATTTTTTTTTTCTCTAAGTAGCCCACAGTAGCAGGAGCACTATCACTTCAGGACAGAAAAACTCCTTGTTTTAATTAAAGTGGTATTGTTGGCTGCTTACGAGTCAGTCTCAGTGGGTTGTGGGTTGGGCCGTTGTGATCCATAGGGTTTTCATTGGCTGATTTTCAGAAGTAGATTACCAGGCCTTTCTTCTTAGTCCATCTTAGCCTGGAAGCTCTGCTGAAACCTGTTCAGCGCCATAGCAACAGGCAAGCGGCCACTGCCAGACAGGGGGTGGCTGCATATATGGTGCATCAGTGGGAAACTGAACCTGAGTCTCCCACATGGAAGGTGAGAATTCTACCACTGAACCACCAATGCCTCATAATTAAGGTGTAGACTAAGCTAAAGCAATAGACCCCAAAACCCAGAGCTTACAAGACAGGAGTCTGTTTTCCTCTCAAGTGAAGATCCAGAGGCGGGGGCTGGTGAGGGGGCGGCCTGCTCATCGAGGTCATCCAGGGACTGAGATTCCTTCTGTCTCGTTGCTCCACCATTCCCTGGAGTCTTGCCTGGCCCGTGGTCAAAGCTCAATCACTAGTATATGTCCACATTCCAGCTCACAGGAGGGAGAAAGAAAAAGGAAAAATAGCTGCTTCTTTAAGAACCAAAAGAAAAAAAACAAAAACAAACCCATTGCCATTGTGTCGATTCCGACTCATAGCAACCCTGTAGGACAGAGTAGAACTGCCCCATAGGATTTCCAAGGCTGAAATCTTTACAAGCAGATTGCCATGTCTTTCTCCCGTGGAGGGACTGGTGGGTTCAAACTGCTCACCTTTCGATTAGCAGCCGAGAGCTTTAACCACATCACTTCCACTCACATCCCACTGGCCAGAACTTAGTGATGTGGCCACAGCTATCTTCAAGGAAGGATGAAAAATGTAGTCCCTGGCTGGACAATCATGAAACTTGCTAAAAAGGGGAGAGTGATTCCCAGCAACAATTAGCAGTGCTGCCAAAGTCACCTCCAGCTTCTTGAACTTGCCCTTACCCACCCGCACTAGAAAAGGTTCACACTAGCTAGGAATGGTCCAGCACTGTCCATGAATTTGGTTTGCCCCATGATCAGACTTTTTCCTTGAAGATAATGCCTCTCTTTGTTAATATATTTTTTGCCAAAACGCTTGCCCATCCTTGATACCCAGAATTCAGTATTCTAGAAGGAGCCCTAGTGATGTAACACTTAAGCACTCAGCTACTAACCAAAAGGTTGGTGGTTTGAACCCACCCAGCAGCTCTGTGGGAGAACGACCTGGTGATCTGCCCCCATAAAGATTACAGCCTAGGAAACCCTATGGGGCAGTTCTACTCTGTCCAATGGGGTCACCATGAGTCCAAATTAACTTGACAGCACCTAACAACAGACGAAGCTTGGGCTAAATACTGAAGCTGCTGGAATGTGTCCTTCCACCTTCCTGCACCTGACCTTCATCTACTCCACCCTTACACCAGCCTGTGACCACACAGACCCTCACCTGGGCCTGTACCTGGCTCAGATCTTACCTTGCCTCCTCCTTGCTGGAAACTCATTCCCACTAGTAGGGGTGGGCGAGAGGTAACTGATGAAACCAGTTTACAACAGGCTGCAAACAACTGACTGTTTTAGTCTTCACGGGGAGTATTTTAATTCTTTAAGCCAAATAAGTTCATCTCAAATGATGAGCTGTAACAGGCAGTGGGAGACATATTTCTGAAGCAAGCTGCTACTGCTTTCCTCTTTGGCAAAGTACAGAAAGCAAAAGTTCCTTTCAGCGGGCACTTCCTGAGTGCCTGCTGCGCTCAGGGGACCGACTTCTTGTTTTCAGTGCTTGTATTTAAATGTGTGACTGTCCCCACACAGCCTTCCTCGGTGGGTGTCACAACAGCTGTGCCATGTCAGGGTCATTGGCACAGCCCTGTCCTCTGAGGACTGACCGTCCTGAAGGCAGGTGATCCTGAAGTTTCCGTCTGGGAAGAAGAGCACCACTGTCGCCATGTGGCCTCCTGCCTTCCTCCCTGTCACTACCCAGCCCCTTCCTGGAAGGCACTGTCACACCGAGCCCTTACGAAGGTGCAGGGGTGACTCGCCCTACTTCCTAATAACTCCCTAGGAGATGGATATTTATTCTGCCACTCACATCATCTATCCCTGAGGGGAAACTCCTCCGGCAGCTGGGTCTCCTTCAGACCTGTGCTGAGCCACGTGATCGTAGCCCGAGCCCCATTTACAGCATTTCCTGCCCACATTAGATCTAAGTGTTTTCCAGTTATCTATGGCGAGATGCCATCCTGAGAATCCCCAGGGCTGGGCCACTTGGTGGAGCTCAGCCACCTCTGTGTCTTTGCCTTTTGGAAGTCAGCAACCAGGCACATGTCCCCATTGCCCACTGTGGAACTCTGCCTGGAGAGATACTAAAATCACCCTGCCCAGATCCAGTAATGTGACTATGGTTGTTCCCAGGTGTCTGAAGCTCCCTGGTTCCATGCCCCGTCCCTGAAGACCAGCTGTGAATATGTGAGCTGCTACCACCAGCCTCCTGCCAAGACAGAGGATTATGATTCAGATGACTACATCAATGTTCCCCGCCTGGCTCACCTCCCCAGCTATCCTCCCAGGCCCAGGCCTTTGTGCCAATGAGTCTCACCTGTCTGCTGAATTCCAACACCTGTTCCATCAGTTCTTGGAGTCCCTGTCACCTCTTGGAGTCCCTGTCACCTCTTGGAGCCCCTGTTATCTCCCACTGCCCACATCAACACTGGTCCCCAGTCTGTCTGCCACGAGTGTAGCTCTGTCCCCAGCTCCTCTTGCACAGAAGGTCAAGAAGGAGCCCTGGTATTGCAGTGATTAAGTGTTCGACTGCTAACCAAAAGGTTGGCAGTTCAAACCCACTGGCCACTCCACAGGAGAAAGATGTGTCAGTCTGCTTCCTTACAGATTTATAGCCTTGGAAACCCTGTGGGGCAGTTTTACTCTGTCCTGTAGTGTCGCAGTGGGTTTGGTTTGGGTTGGTGGTCAGGTGGGCTCCAGGCATGCAGGGCGTTTGTCCTGGTGCCGTCTACTTCCTTCCCAGGCTGTGGGATTTGCAGTGTTGCCTCAATGTTCTTGATCGCAGGGCCCTGCTACCTCGCTCTAGACCACATGGCATCAGGCTGGAGCATAGGCACATCTGTTGCTTCAGGATCCTTCCCAGGCTTGAGCTTCACACAAATAGAAGGCCCTGAGCTGCTTCATGGGGACGTGCCTCTGCCCAGGAAGCTAGGAAGGGGCTGGTATGGACACGTTCTGGGAGTGTCTTTACCCTGGTTCTAAGGCTGGTCCTTGCTGGTGAGCTTTCCACTTACACTGAGTCCTCTGGAAAGGGCAGTTTATTTTGACATAACAAAGGATTCAAAACAGAACCATGCTCCTTAGTGCTCAGTGCATTTAGCATTGCTGCTCCCCGTCAGTTCCCCGGCTAATGAAAGCTAAGCTGCATCAGAGTGAGGCCCCAGACTGAGAGGCAGATAATGTCTGTATATAAATCCTCTTCACTCCAAGTTACCCTGCCTTGATGCCCACAAGTGCCCTGCCCCCAGCATTTCTCCTCTTTTAGGCGTAGTCTCTGTCATCAACTTGTCCCTCACCCAGAGCCTGGTATCGATCTTAGTTCATTTATCTTAACATTGGTCTATTCTAGCGCCCTTCTATTTTCAGAACCACACTTCTGTATTTTCAGAACTACACCTCGTCTATTTTCAGAAATAACACCTCGTCTCTCTGCTAGTTCCAGATAACTTACAGCAAGGTGGGGAGGAAAGCAGCCTGGGTTCCTGGAGGACCAGGGCTCTGCAATAGCCTTTCCATCAGAAAAGAACAGACATCCACCTCGCACATATTCTCTTTCTGTTTGGGGTTTTCAGATCAAGGTCACGGTCAGACATTATATCTTTGATGTTTTTCCTTTTGTTTGTTTTTTCGCATGCCTCCAGGATTTTATTGTACACACAAGCTTTTCTCCTCCAGCAGCTGCATTTTTCATTATTGTACTGCAAGTAAGATTTTTGCCTAAAAGATTAAGAACAGCTCACCTTTTAACTATTCCATAACAATTTTCAGTAATATGCAATAGAACTACAGTTTTGCCAATATTTCATAAACCCTATTTTATGACTGTAATGTAACAAGACACAGTCCCTATAAAATACTCAGATTTTTTTTTTAAATTATTCTTCCAAATATTGGCAACAGAGAATTTACGTAGTATATCCTAGGTCACAAATTATATTCTGCTGGAGTAAATAGCTTTTAGCTGACTTAATTTATAAAAATCAACGTTGACTTGGAAAAGAGTTTTGTTATTTTGACAAAAATTAACAAAATTAAAATGGATCTGTAGTATTTCATTTGTATTTGCAAAAATACAAATCGATTAGCTTCAGAAGCAGTGTAACATTTATAGTGGGGCCACAAGGAGACAGTTTCTCACCTTTGCACTACAAAACTGCAAATCATCTTGATTGTGTAAATTGTTTCCAAGGATCATTGTTAGGTATTTTGAAAACCCTTTTCCCATACAGCCAGGAGCTTTAATAAGAATTGTTAAATAAATGGATTATTAGGTTAAGATTAAGACTGTCAACACGGATTTAACCTACTAAATTAATAATGCTTGATGGAATGCGACCTGTGCATTTTGCAATTGTTAACAAATATTATATTTGTAAGATTTCATCTTACCTCATTTTCGTGTTACTGAGTAATAAGGTGGGCTCAAGTGAATATATGGTTTGCCAAATTGATTGCAGGCATTAGAGAAATTTGAAAAAAAAAAAAAAAAGCTTTAAAATGGAAAGTGCAAAGCCCAGATATCCCCTATCCTTTAGTTTTCCTCCTTAAACCTACAGCCTTTCTAGAGCCTTTTATTTATTTATTTATTTTTAATGTGCTTTGGGTGAAAGTTTATAGCTCAAGTTAATTTCTCATACAAAAATTTATACACATATTGTTATGTGACATTGATTGCCGTCCCTATAATGTGACAGCACACTCCCCCTTTCCACCCCGGGTTTCCCGTGTCCATTCAACCAGCTCCTGTCCCTTCCTGCCTTCTCATCCTGCCTCCAGACAGGAGCCGCCAATTTGGTCTCATGTATCTGCTTGAACTAAGAAGCACACTCCTCACGAGTATTATTTTTTGTGATATAGTCCAGTCTAATCTTTGTCTGAAGAGTTTTAGTTTTAGTTCTGGGTTAACAGAGCATCCAGGGGGCCACAGTTTTGGGGGTTCCTCCAGTCTCTGTCAGACCATTAAGCCTGGTCTTTTTACGTAAATTTGAGTTCTGCGCGGCACCTTTCTCCCACTCCATCCAGGACGCTCTGTTGTGTTCCCTGTCAGGGCGGTCATTGGTGGTAGCCAGGCACCATCTGGTTCTTCTGGTCTCAGGCTGATGAAGTCTCCAGTTTGTGTGGCCCCTTCTGTCTCTTGGGCTAATATTTTCCTTGTGTCTATGGTGTTCTTCATTCTCCTTTGCTCCAAATAAGTTGGGACCAATTGATGCATCTTAGATGGCCAGTCGCAAGCTTTTAAGACCCCAGACACCACTCACCAAAGTGGGATGCAGAACATTTTCTTAATAAGCTTCGTTATGCCAATTGACCTAGATGTCCCCTGAAACCATGGTCCCCAGGCCAGACATTTAATCTTTGGATTTAAGTCAACCACAAAGTTCAGCCCAAGCTTGAGAATAAAAGTGCCAAGTTTGCTCTTAGGAAGAAGGCCTTTCCCAGACACACAACTCAGCCTCACTGGGCACTTGTCCAGAAACAGAAAGGAAAGGCTGCCAGACCTGAGTCCTGCTGCCTTTTATTAGCAGGGGATGTGTTTACAGATTGGACAGTACATCCAGGTACATGGACACCATCAGCAATGTCACTGTCACACTGGCACCCTTTCAAGTGGCAGATAAGGCAAGAATGACTAGGATGAGATAAGGAGGGCACAAGAGGAGAAAGGTTGGAGGGGTGGGCTGGGGAGTGCAGGCAAGGAATGCAGTGTTTAGTGGGAGCTTGCTTTGTGCCAGGCACTTTAACCTACATTATATCTGTGATTTTTTACATCTCAAACCGGTGCCCCCACCCCTACTCCAGTGCTTTGTCCCCACAGACATCAAGACAATGTAGCTTCCATGTCCTCATGTTCAAGTTCATATTCCAGCATCCCTCATCATTCCTGAACAATTCGTAGACCAGGCTGAAAATCCAGTTTATTAAGTATTTACTGAGTATCCCGCCCACTGCCCCACAGTGTGGCAGGTATTGTGGGGGATGCAGGAGGAGCCTAAGAACTCTCCCCGCTGCCTTCACAGAACTTAGAGTCTACAAATAAATACAACATCAAGTAAAACACTGACAATAATCAGTATAATAAATACAGAAATCTGCTTTGTGGGTTATTCACAGCATCCAAGGGAGCCTTCCATGGCTGTCGGGGCGCCACTTAAAGAAGGAGGTCTTTGAAGACAGGCCTGGGCCAAAAATGCAGCCCATGGCAGAGGGTCCGTAGTGCCCCAGGGAGCAGCACAGGAAGGAACACCCATTTGAAATGCATGGAGCCGAGGAAGGTGTCGTGGTCTAGACATTCAGCGCTGGTAGTATTTCTCCATCCAGGTCAAGAGAATGCCCACTTCCCCGACGGCTTTTGTCAGAGCTGCTTCTATGTCCAACTGCAGGGAAAGCGGAGTTGAAGGTCTGCTGTGTTAGCTACAAGAGTAGGTTCCTACCCTCCACTGCCCCCAAGATAAGCCTGACTCCAAGTGATAGGCTGGGTCACCTATGGGGTGGCCTCTGAAAAACTCACTTGCCCATCACCACATCCCCCATCTATGTGTGTTGTCTATTTCAGGAGTGACAACGAATGAGTCAGTAAGTGGGCAGGGCGTAGGAACAAGGGAAACAGCATATGGAGCCCCTGACACCAAGAACCATAGAATCCTAGCATGACCATAAAATCCACCACCTGAGCTCGCAGTGCAGATGAAGACACTGAGGCCCACCGTAGTCCCTCCTCATTGAATGTTACAGCTCTTCACCACTTATTTATAGGCTGACGTAGCTGTTCCTCAGAAAAATGATCAAACTCATATATGACACTTTAGGGGGCTGAGAATGAAATTTGGATTTTCTTCATTGTCTTAATTTGAGTAAAGGTAATATAATTTCCCAGAATTTTTTTTCTTCTCCAAACTAGGCCACTGGAGCATTATGGAAAATACTGTGGTATGTATGGGGGGATGCCTCCCTGCTTACTCCCTTACTTCTGACTCTAACTGCCCAGCTTAAGTACCCATAAAACTCTTTCACAAACAAAGTCCTCAGTAGTGAAATCACCTTATTAAAAAACAGTTGCCATTGAGTCGACTCTGACTCATGGAGACCCCATGTGTGTCAGAGTAGAACTGTGCTCCACAGGTTTTCAATAGCTGGTTTTTCAGAAAGAGATTACCAGGCCTTTCTTCCCAGGTGCCTTTGGATGGACTTGAACCTAAAACTTTTCAGTTAGCAGTCGAGTGTGTTAACCATTTGCATCACCCAGGGACTCCTGAAATCACCTTATAGGGACACATTTTAACTTGAAAACTGATGAAAGACAGATCACTTAGTTTTTGGTGCTAAGGCAAAGTATTTGGATCCACAATCAACATCCATGGAAGCAGCAGTCAAAAAATCAAGCAACCTCTTTAAAGTGTTAAAAAGCAAAGATGTCATTTCAAGGACTAAGGGGCAGCTAACCCAAGCCATGGTGTTTTCAATCGCCTTATGTACATGCGAAAGTTGGACAATGAATAAGGAAGACAGAAGAAGAATTGATACCTTTGAATTATATTGCTGGCAAAGAATATTGAATATACCATGGACTGCCAGAAGAATGAACAAATCTGTCTTGGAAGAAGCACAGCCAGAGCGCTCCTTGGAAGCGAGGATGGCAAAACTTCGTCTCACGTACTTTGTCATGTTATCAGGAGGGACCAGTCCCTGAAGAAGGACATCATGCTTGGTAAAGCAGAGGGTCAGTGAAAAAAAGGAAGACCCTCAATGAGATGGATTGACACAATGGCTGCAACTATGGGCTGAAACATAGCAATGATTGTGAGGATGGCGTAGGACCAGGCAGTGTGTTTCTTTCTGTTGTACATGGGGTCGCTATGAGTCAGAACTGACTCTACAGCACCTAACACCACCAATGCAAGGTATATGCTAATTGATGCAAATATACCTGTGGTCTTGCTAATTCAGTGGCTTTTAGGCAAGCCCTGCATTAATTCTGCATTAGGGCTCTGAGGCACCCTCATTTGACAGGTGAGGCTGGTCTGAGCAAGCTCACAGCTCAGGGGCCCTGGTTACCTGTTTAAAAGCCCCCTGGAACTGCAGAAACTGCCTGTGTGCACTCTCAATGATGGAGAACATCTCATTTTCCTCCTGAGAACAGAAAATAAACAAGCTGTGCTTAATATTGGTTAGGAGAAGAGGTAAGCCTCCTCCCACTCATTCCTTGTGATTCCACAAGGATTCCCAAGGCCTGGGATGACAGCACTGAATGCCAGCTTCTCAAGTAGCCGATGCCAAACCCCTACAACACGGCAGGTGCTGCTGCCTTTAATTCTCACAGCAATCCTGTAAAGTAGGGGTGATCATCCCCATTTGCAGATAAGAAAACTGAAGCTCAGAGGGCACCTTGAAAAGGGTCACCCAGCTAGTTAGAAGTAGACCTAGACTTGAGCCCAGAACTGTTGGTCTCCAAAGTCTGTGCTCTTTTCCAAGATACCCCATAACACCCCAGGACCAGATAAGGGGTGGGGGGAGTTCTTAAAGCACATTATTTCCTGTGAGCCCAAGTCCTGGCTTTGTTCTACTCACACGGGGTTGTAGTTTGGACATGATGACAATAAAGTTGTTGGTGAGAGTAGAAAATGACTGCAGGATCCTGAGTTCATTTGCCTTATTGTAGTAGTTTTTGAAAACAGTTTTCAAGTAAAACTCCAGCAGAGAGTGGATGAAGTAACAGCTTTCAGCATCCTGAAAAGAGTCTGGATTACTATGGAGCCCTCTGCCCACCCTCTGGCCCCCAGGATGAACAACCCATATGCCACACAGGGCAAGATAAACACTAGAGTCAAGACATCTTATAGGAGATGATGATAAACATTGAATCTGAAGGGGACTTTGAGGGCCACGTGGAGCGGTCCCTTTGTTTTACAGGAGAAACCCCAGGCCCAGAGAGGGGAAGTGACTTGCCCAAGGTCCCGCAGCAAGTCAGTGACAGACACAAGCCCAGCTCCCAAAACCCCTGACTCCCCATCTGGTTAATATTCCTTCTTCTATACCACACTGCCTCTCTAATAGCTATGGGGAGGGCATGCTGTGGGGAGCTGTGGTGGACCCTGAGAAGGACCAAGAACTTGGTGGTGGAGAGTTGGCGGGGGAAAGGACTGGAAGGAGAAGAAACGAAGAGAAAATAAAACTAACATCCTGGAACACAGGGATTGCACTCTGGCCCCCTGGAGCTCCACTGTGTGAGGCTTGGTGCCTTGCAGTGATCAGGGCTCAGTAGTTGCCCTTGCAGTGAGTGGTGCTCACTGATTGCCGAGATGAGCAGTAAGAAACACATGATGTTTGGAAAGGGTACAAGCAGAAGAGAAGGAAGGTGGACCTAAGCAGATACTCACTGCTTAGCAGAAGAGAAATAAAGATTGATGGCAACTCTCTGGCTAAACTGAGAAAGATTTTCACCAGCCTTAATCCCCACCCCTCTTCCCATGACCCTGTATACACACACCACACAGTGATAACCCAGAGACTGAATTCCCTGGCTAACTGGTCGGCACTGTGCTGTGTAGGGTCAGCCCAGGGCAAAAGTGGGGGCTTTTATCAGCCACCCCTAGGCAGCCCCGACCCCCACCCATAGCAGAGCAGCTACACAGAAAGCTGAGTCATCCTCCCAGGTCTGATTACCGAGATGTTCTGTAGAATCTCCTTCCGCAGCAGTCGGACACTTGTGTTGTGATCCTGAGCTTGCTGTGAGAACAGAAAGAAAAGATGTCTCTGGGCTGGGGGTCAGCATGGAAATCAACCCTGCAGACATGTGCTGCTTCCCCAGACTGCTAAGTGTATCCAGCCTATGAGATTTCAGAGGCCAGAGGGAGCAAAAGAGGACCCGAGGAGGGCTGTGCTGGGCTGGGCCCTGGGGAGAGGGTACAAGGTTCCAGCCATAGAAAACCATGAAGCTTGACCCCAAGGTAAAATGCAATCCCAGGAGCTCTTACAGCCTGAAAACAGACTTGATGAGGGACCTGTTTGAATCCTTCATTCATTTCAGACTAGGAGGAAATAAGCCTATTTACTTTAAGAATCCCTAACGGCAGGATTTGGCCTCCATGTTCCACAGGTGGTGATGGGCTGCACCTCTGAGCTGCCTCTCACCCATGGAGCTTCTCTGCAGCCGAACCACTCATCCCAACCCTTGGGTTTAGAGTCAGAGTCTTAGAGAGGAAGGGGACTTCCAGCCCATTGGTTTCACTTCCTCATTGTGCAAATGAGGAAACTGAGCTTGGGAGTGAGTGGGGAGCTGCTGCTCAAGTTCATTTCAAGGTCAAGACCACACCCAGGTGTCTTGTACTCTAGTCTGCGACTCTCCTCTCCCCCTAGGCTGCCTCATTAAGCTCCCTCTTTTTCCCTAACCCCTGGCACCTGGATCATCATTTAAGGCATCCAGGGCATCTGTGAGGGCATGCATTGGAGCACTTTCAGACCCAGGAAGATTCACGGTCACACTGTACAAGCTGCCCCATTAGACCTCAGGATTAGCTATTCTTTCTACTTTTAGCCAAGGCCTAAGTATGCAGGAACAGCAAAGCAGTAGGTGAAAACCCCAGGAGGTCTCAAAGGATTATCCATGACTTCTGGGGCCGGAGTGTCCCATGTCCCCCTGGGCTGTAGATGAAGCCTGGCTATATCAGGCTCCCTTCTTTACTCCCTTTGGGCTCTATTTACTTTATTATAGACTGACTGCATCTTTCTGAGCCTCGGTTTCATGTGTAAAATGGGGCTTATGATGCCGTCTGACCTCACGGAGTTCTTGTTTAGGAGAATGATTAGCAGGCTGCAGAGGGTTCCACCATCATAAAATGCTATCCTCTGTCCCCAGTAACCCTGTGGCTGGGTCCAGGACAACACTGCACTCACCACAGTGTCCTTCATGATCCAGAAGGCCTTCCTTAGTCCCTGGAGCTCTACCCCCTGCACTCGGCAGGGCCCAAATCGGAATTCTTGGCCCTGGACCCTTGGGACCTGGCTCCAGAGAAGCAGGAACAAACTCAGGCAGGGGAGGGTGGCCATCTGCATTCGAGAGCCCATCTGCAGCGAAGGAAGGCCTGGAAGGCTCCTGCTGAAAGAAAGGGAGGTATCCCCACTGAGGCAGGCCCACTGAGCCTGCAGGTAGCCTTCTCTCGGTGCAGACTCTGTATAGAGTGACATGCCCCACAGTAATGCTCCTTGTGTCTGCCGAGGCCAGCCTCAGGGCACACGGATAGGAGGACTGAGACTAGGGTGGGTTCCCAGTGTTTCACTAGAGACGTGTGGCCTTGCTGGGGTATTCTGGGTGGGGTCTTTCTGCCCCTGAATCTCATACCTACTGGTCTTGCCATCTCACTATCGGCCCTTCCACCATGCCCATCACATCACACACCCCCTGCGCTTCCTTCCTTTCTCCATACAATTCTCTCTAGCCTCCAACCTGCTGGTCAGAATTTGACCAGGAAGAGTAAAGAAATGCAGTGGGTTGTGATGTGCCAAAAAGCACAGCTAGAGAGCCCATACTCGGGAGGGCAGAGAATGTTAACTGGGCATTTGCTTGTCTATGTTCTGCCCTTAAGTCTCCATGTACACTCCTCCCCCAGGAGAACCCCATTCCTGACTCCTCATTGTGAGGGTACTGGGGGGTTAATCTGGCCCACAGGGAAGGGCCACAAGACTATAGGTCAGGATTGCATACTCACTCTGCCACCTTAACTGACCGACTCACTCTTAACTCTAATAACTTTTCAGGTAACTGAACAAAAGAGAGGAAATAGGTTTTAAGATGAATCACCCTCAAATTTTCCGCTAAAGTGCTGGTTGGGAATGACTGTATAAAGAACTTCCAAGCCTGAGGAATTTAACACCATTATCTATTCTATCATAACTATATGCAGAGAATTTCTTTCCAGTGCCTTCCTTGACCTTCCGTTTTCTTCTCTATTTCCTTCTTTCCTCCTTCCCTTTCTTCCTCCCTTCTTTCCACAATCGTTTAAGAAACTTCCTTATTCCAGGAACTCATCTAAGACCTGAAGAAACTCAGTCTTCCATTCATAGAGTGGGCGGGAAGACCAAAGAAGACCCGTCTTTGGAATTACTGGCAACACCTGGGCTAGATAAGTGGTATCTAGGGCTGAGCCCATTATCCTCTCTCTTCAGCCATCTCCCTCAAAGTCTTTTGATTCTCTTCTTTCAAATTCCATCCACTTTGCAATCTCTCTTGAAAATTCATTCCTGGATCTCATAATTTTCCTGGCCAGAATATTCCTCCTCCCATCCAGTCTAAATCCTGCTTGGTGTTACACTGGAGAAAGCAGCTGTTCGTCTATAGTCATACCTTCGCCTTAAATACTCAAAAAGTTGACTTCTTTCATCCCCCGTCAGCTTCCATTCCCACATAAGGCAGCAGCCTAATGCTACAAAGCCAAGTACTGGAGAAGCCCATTGCTCACCTCAGGTGCTGGAAATTATGCTTGAGGGCTAGCTGTTTGGAGGTGGCTGATTCTCACAGCCAGGGAAAGTTGGGCAGACACCGTCAGTCTTCACCTCTCAGGGATGTAACTGTGGGTAGAAGGTTCCTGTTCCAGCTGTGGAAGTCATTTAAAAAGTAAGGGAGTGCAGGCAAGCAAGACTTTGTGGGGATTGGTATATATGGGGGCTGGAGGGGCGGAGAAGGGAGAGGGAGGTGGAGAAAGGGAAATTGGTCATGCTTTCCTAGAGAATTACTTCACTGCCTAGTCACCTTTTTCTTTAAGACAATGGGACAATGGAGAAGGCAGCATCTGAGGTGAGATGGGACCCGGGTCCAAGTTCAGGCTCTGCCACTGGCTGTGTAGGCCTGGGGAAAGTCTCCTGGCTTTTCTGAGTTTCAGGTTCTGCGTCTATAAAAAAAAAATAAGACAGTGGTTAAGAGCTCGGCTGCTAACCAAAAGATCAGCAGTCCAAATCCACCAGCCACTCCTTGGAAACCCTATGGGACAGTTCTACTCTGTCCTATAGGGTCACTATGAGTCGGAATCAACTGCATGGCAATGGGTAATGATGGGAAGGGAGCTCAGAGGCTAAGGGTAGCCCATGAACACTTCTCCCTTAAGCCCTCAGGGCCAGGAATTCTAGGAATGCTTCCCAAAATGCAGCCATTCATGGGTCCCTAGGGTTATAAGCATTCAGCTAAAATATGCCCCACCTTAGCTTCTGGAAACCAGGAAGGTAAGGAAGGGTGTATATGGCTGGCCTGAAAATCTGGGGGTCCTGAAGTCCCATTATCTGGTGGGCTGGCCTCGAACTGTGCCGCTCTGCCTTGGGGTCACCCAGGGAATGCAGCAATGTGGCATCATGTCATGAGACCTGGTCACATCTTCAGCCAGCAAGGCACTCTAACAACAATATGCAACGTACACACGGGCCCAGTTGTGCCTTCCCACCAGTCTGCGGTGCACAATTTCACCTGTCCCCCACCACAGCAAAGATGTAGTGAAAACCGTGTGAAATTGCTCACCACAGATTAGCAAGTAAATATAATTAAGCCCCCATGTACCTTGCTCAATGCAAGCCAAGTGCATCCCATGCTTACTGGTTAATCCGCTCCTGCACTCGAAGTTTCCATATATAAAAGAGGGAGGAGGGGTGTCAACTGGAGCAGTGCTTCCCAAAGCGTATTCCACAGAGTCTAGCCTTGAGGAATGCTAGCCTTGCAAGACACTCCATGAAAAAAGGAATTTCATAGTCAGGTAAACTAAAAAAGTCTGGCATGTGTTAGCCCCCTCCTGGAAATGTATACTTCTCCTGAGAATACAAGACCCTGAGAAGTCTCACACTGGTGGTAGTGGTGGTGGTGAGGTGTGTATGTGTTTAACTTTAACTCAGCATTTCCCATGAGTATTTGACCATGGTCCCTGGGGAACACATTTTGGGAAACACTGGATTCCAAATCAGGGATTGGCAAATTACAGCTCACGGGCCAAATTCAGCCCACCGCTGCTAAACTAAGAATAGCTTAGTCCTGTGAGCTAAAAGTAGTTTTTACATTTTTAAATGATTGGAAAAAGAAATCAAAAGAAGATTCATATTTTCTGGCACATGAAATTTAAATAAAGTTTTATTGAGGCACAGCCACGCCCGTTCATTCACATATTGTCTCTGGCTTTGTTTGCACTACAAGGCAGAGATGAATAGCTGTGACAGTCTCTGGCACCAGCATCCCTTCCCTCCATCATTCACACATGTTGTTGGTTTTTTAAGCAAACAATGTACTTGTGTGCAATCCCCGACCAGCAGCCTGGCCTGCTGCTGGCACCACAGGGACTGAGCTTGCCTCCTTTGCTCCGGGAGATCCTGAGTCTTGCCCTCTAGCCCTAGGCAAGGACCCACATCACATCCTTTTCTCCTTTTCGGGATCTAGGACATTACTGAAAATGCCCTATGTACTATGGGATTGGAGTGTCTGGGTGGTACAAATGGTTAACACGCTTGGCTGCTGACCAAAAGGTTCGAGTAGGTTCGAGTCCACTCAGAGGCACTTCAGAAGAAAGGCCCGGGGATCTACTTCCAAAAAGTCAGCCACTGAAAACCCTACGGAGCACATTTTACTCTGACACATATGAGGTCGCCATAAGTCAAGTTTTCCTGATAGCAACTGGTTTTTACTATGGGAAGAAGATGCCAAGGGGCAGTGATAAGACAGGAAAGAAGACCAGGCAGGAGTGTTGGGGCAATAGAGAAAGGGAGGCAGGAGAGGGATGGAGTGAATAGATAGCTAAGAAGGAAATTGAGAAGGAAAGAGAGCCTCCAGGGCAGCTGCAATCCTAGACAACGATCTACGGAAAGTTGGGCAGGGCCTGAGAGATGAGCTGTAACGGGCAGGCTGGAACAGACACATGAGGTAATGGTTTCACCTTAGAAGGCCCCAGGATACCCACCCTGGACACGGGTAGCTCACTATTTCTAAGGAAGGAATAATATAATATTGATACTCCAAGCAAACACGTTCCTGAGGCTTAACCTCTGATGAGTTTATACAGTACCATTACCTGAGAAGGGAGGGCAAGGAGAGAACTCAGGGACCTTGGTCTAACATCCGTGTCAAATCAGTAACCTTGGCTATGAGCACAAGCTTTGGAGGCAAACCTAGATTCAAGTGTGATTGAGCTGCTGACTTGTTCCCTGAGCTTCAGTTTCCTAATTTGTGGAGTCCTCACAGGGCCACATGATGCAATGACATAAAGTCTTGCCACTCAAAGAGTGGTCCATGGACCAGCAGCAAAAGGATCTAGGAGCTTCTTAGAAATGCAGAGTCTCAGGCACTTCCCCAAAACTACTCAATCAGAATGTATATTTTAACACATCCAAAAGTGATTCTTAGATGCATTAAAATTTGAGAAGCATCTACATAAAACAAACAAAAGGCTCACTCCAGTGTCTGGCACATAGTAAATGCTTAATAAATGATGACTCTAAGAGAGAAAGGTCTAAAGCAATGGTTCTTAACTGGGGCAATTTTGCCCCCAGAGGATATTTGGCAATGTCTGGAGCCATTTTAGGTTGTCAGAACTCCAAGGGTGCTGCTGTCATCTAGTGGAATGAACCAAGGATGCTGCTAAACATCTTACAATACACAGGACAGCCCCTGACAACAAAGACTTATCCAACTGGACCAGACTAAGACCTGAATTTCTTCTAATCTCTATGATGTCAATAGTGCAGAGGTTAAGAAACCATGGACTAGAAGAACGAGTCTGAGAGCAATAGGTCGGGGGAAGATCTGAAATAGAAAAACAGAAGGATAAGGAGGGTAACCCTTATTGGTGAGGAAGTAATGGACTGATTAATGGGGGAGAAAGTGGAAACAAACAGAAGGTGGCAACTTAGAGGGCAGCGCCCAAAGACTCCTGGGTAGGAGATGATGATGAGGCTTGGCTCACTCCTGGGGAAGCCCAAAGTCTCCAACTTTGTGACGTTGGAGAAATCAAAGGCTGATCCTTTCGTCCAGATCTATGTCTTTTTTTTTTTTTTTTAATTGTACTTCAGGTGAAGGCTTACAGAACAAATAGTTTCTCATGAAACAGTAGTACACATATTGTTTTATGACATTGGTTAACAACCCCACAACATA